CTGCACTCCAACCTGGGCGACAGAGCGAGACTCTGATTCAAAAACAAAAAAAAAAAACTACAGTCTTTCATCTGGGGAATAATGGGATCCAGTCCCTAGGGGGGTCCTGGAGTATCAGGGTTTCAGCCCCTGTCTCATTTCCTCAGCACCCACAGGTATGTCTACGGATGCTCTTACCCACTGGCCATGCCCAACCAGGCCGGATGTACTGCGAAATTGGGAGCTTTGGCCTCACTATCTCTTGGGGAGTGAGAGGTGTGCTGTGGCTGGGTCTTCTCTCCAGGGTTCCAGGGTGAGTCCTGGATGTACATGCAGCCTGAGCCTTAGCAGCTTTCCATCCTCTTCTTAATCCTAGGAGTAGGATTTTGTCTCACTCCCTACTTTCCAAGCCCGGAACTCTGTTCTTATCCTCACCCGCTTGGTTTTCCCACCCCTAGGAGGCCGATCTCAGCTCTTTGTGCTTGTAGCCACAGTCTGGGCTCCTGCTAAACACGGGTCACCCAGAGCCCAACGCCGCTGCTTCCACAGCCATCTCACTCACCAGAATCCAGGCTTTGCTCTTGACTCCTCCCTCTCCTGTTCCTGCTGGTTCTGCCAAACCACTCGAGCCTCACCCAGGCATCTGTTCCTAAAGTTTCTCTGCAGTCAAGTGGTCTTTGAAACATACATATCAGATCTTATTACTCTCCATGGGGTCACTGGCTTCCAGGATGTCAAGGATGAAGTCCCCAAATCCTTAACATGCCTGAAGGTACCATGCCCCATCTCCAGCCTCTTCCCAAACACACCTCCCCTTTCCATTCTCTGAGGTCCAGCCACAATGACCTTCCCTTCCTGAATCCCCTCCAGACACCAAGCCCTCTGGGTTTCCTCGAGACCTCCCCTACTGGCAAACTGGACCCCTTTGGAATGGTGGCCTGCCCATATGAGTGTGCCATGTACTTTGGCCACAGTGATTTAGACAGTAGGATGTTCCCTCTGGGTGACTTTACCCCAGTCAGTGTCCCCAGATCCCCCCCTGCTCAGCTGCCTCCCTGACCATCCCCATGGTTGAGGCCCCAGCATGGCCTGTCCGTGAGACAGCTCCATCCAGACACTGGACCAGTGAGAAGCTACTACATCCTCTGGCTCTTGTAGCCAAGACTCTTCTGTAGGCCAGGGAAGCGGGGCACAGTGGAAGGAGCATAAGCTCCGCCTCTGACAGCTCCAGATTTGAGTCTTGGTTCTGCTCCTTATTAGCTGTGTGACTCTGGGCAAGTTGTTTAACCTCTCTGACCCCTGCTTCCTCCTCTGTAATGTGCGTGTGGAAGCAGAACAGTCCAGTAGTTATGCTGTGAACTTTGAAATCTGATTGCCTAGGTTTAAATTCCTCTCTTCTCTGTATGCCACCCACGGAGCCTCTGAGCTTATTTCATATATATATTTTTTTGAGTTGGAGTCTCACTCCGTCGCCCAGACTGGAGTGCAGTGGCCGCTCCCGACCTGCTGGGCTCTGGCAATCCTTCCGCCTCAGCCTTCCAAGTAGCCGGAAT